ATCCAAACCCTTGATCTTGCTGTTATAACACCACACTCTAACCAACTGAGTTAACAAGCCAGCCCTTTCCTGGTGATTTTGATGATCCATAACATTTGGGTTTCTCTGCTCTAGACTTTTGATCTTTAAGGCTTCAGAGATACTATACCTGTGAACATCCTGAGCCCTCTCTATAGAAGTTTGTATCCCTAGGTCCCTTGTAGATAAATAAGAAATTTGTATATACGAGAGAGATGGCTGGAAACTTACCAGGGAAACCACCCAGAGCCCTCGTGTCTTGGGGAACATTACTGGTCTGTGTTCAGGAATTTAGAAACGACTTCCCCAGCATCATAGCTATCCCCATCTGCTCACATTCAAATCCACCTTCAGAGCCCATGGTGCTTACCCCAACTGTTCTCACTCATGTCAGTTTGGGCTGTTCCACAGCTTTCTGTGTTTTGTTTCATTGTCTGCATGTTGCCTCCCTGCAGGACCATATTGAGAGTAAGACGCAATTGAATACTTTTTTTGAATTTCCACATAGCCCCTCATACAGAGCCAAACTAATAGTAATAGAGAAAACAAGGGACAAAAGAGACCTTGGTCTAAAAGGAACAAAAAAGGATTAAGGTTGACTCTAGAATTAAAAAGCAGATAGAGAATGGTGGTAAATGTGGTAAGAGGGGTGGGTGTACAGCTTACCCTGCTGAGATGGCAGTATTTTAAATGTTAGGTAAGTATCTTATTCCACTCTGATTTTTTTCTTTGTTACTTCTCTGTTCTTCATTTTTTAGGTCAATGATCCATCACTAGTAGTACAGTAAGGTGACCAACTTGTCCCAATTTGTGTGGGACTTTCCCAGTTTCTGCAACAGAAGTCCACTGTGTGGGAAACCCCTTACTGGCAAACTGGACAGTAGGTCACTCTACTCAGGAGACAAAAAGAGCTCCCCGATCAAATAAAACTGGGAAATGATATATAACACTCTACCCACCTGAATTCATTTCCTATTGCTGCTATAACAAATCACCACAAATTTAGTGGCTTAAAACACTCATTTATCATCTTATATTTCTGGAGATCAGAAATCTGAAATGGGTTTTACAGGGCTAAAATCAAGGTGTTGGCAGAGCTCCATTTTTTCTGAAGGCCAGAAGGGAGAATTCCTTTGCTTGCCTTTTCCAACTTCCATAGGCCACCCACATTCCTTGGCTCATGACCCCTTCCTCCACCTTCAGAGCCAGCAATCCCATCACCCCAGAGACAGGGCCGTTACTCAAAAGTCTTCAAGCTTCTTCTGTGGAATTGACTTCAAAGCACACAGCACAATATTTTGAACATCCTTAGTGCTTGTAAATATTGGTCTTTGGAAGACATGTTTGATTTTTTTTTGGACCAAAGGTTACTCTCACAAAGGTCCGGTGACCATGGCAGATGATCAGACTGGGCAGGAATATCATTTGTCTCAAATTCTGGAAGAACATTAATCAGGAAGTCTCAGCTTTCTCATGGTAAAGAGGAGACAGGAGATACTTCATCCCTTTCATGTTCTACACAGTAAGTGTCTATTCTCTTTGCACCAAGGCTGAAGGGAAAATCCTGGCCATGTGAGGGCCACTGGGCTGTGAAGTTGCTTGAAGATTCCGTCATCTCGGACTTTGGGGAGAGAGCGTCCTGGGGCTGTGGAAGGTCCCTGGCACCCGCTGCTTTAGTTCTGCTGATGCCACTACAGTGACCCCACTCTAGGCTGTGCCCCTTAGGGGCCTACAGCTGGAAGAGGCCCAAGAGTAGAAGTAGCTGTCCCGGAATGGGCCAGGTCTGAGGGAGCATGGCAGAGCCAGCCATGAGGGGGCATTCATGGCCTTCATTTAAATCGTGTTTGAGTGTTTACTGAGTCTGTGTGTATTGGGGTTCTCCAGAGAGACAGAATCCATAAAATATGTTATAAAAATATATGAGAGGGGAATTATGAGGGGAATTAGCTCACTTGAATTGTTACAAGAAGTCCCACGATAGGCCGTCTGCAAACTGGATGCTGGTAGCGTGGCTCAGGCCAAGTCTAAAAGCCTCAAAACCAGGGAAGCCAGTGGTGCCCTTGGTGTAAGTCCTGGAACCCAAAAGCTGAAGAGTCTTGAGCTCTGATGTCCACAGACAGGAGAGAAGAGTGTATCCCAGCTTCAGTAGATAAAGAGAGCGATTCTCCTTTTTCCTCCATTTTTTTCCTCTTGGGACCCCCAGCAATGGATGGTTCCTGCCCATACTGAAGGCAGATCTTTCCCACTCAGTCCACTCAGGCTCTCATACTAATCTCTTCTGGAAATACCCTCATGGACACACCTAAAAAGATAGCTTTACCCGGTTTCTCAGCATTCCTTCATCTGATCAAGTTGACACCTAGAATTAGCCTTCACACTGTGTCTGTGAGGCCAGAGCGTCCAATGATTAGTCACTGCACACTGAGGAAACGAGTCCAGAGTGAGCAGAGGCGGTAGGATATGAGTTGGGGAGGGGCCAGAAAAGGAGAACAGAAGCCAGTGCATATGGCCATCTGTCTGTCCACTCTGCCTATCATACCCGTCACTCCTGTGTAACCACAGACTACTGGACAAAAGCTCTAAGGATTCTCAATTCTCAAAGGAATAGTGGTTTTTCTTAGCATAAGTTTGTGTGAACTGTATTTCATTACTTTCTTGTTCTTCTGCATTTCTCTGGTATTTTACTCAACAGGCAACATTCCATGCCTGTGCCAAAACTGAGCCAGGTGCTATGGGAGACATTGTCTCTGTCCTTGGGCAACTTGAATCTCCTTGGTAGACAAGAATAATATGCATACAGACTGTAGAGTGGGAAAGGCTGGCGGGTTTCACTGCAAATGTCACCTCCAGCTAGTGGTGACTTGGTAGAGTATTGCA